AAAAAAGAAAAAAAAGAACAGAAAAAAAGAAATTAAACATCACTTTGAAATGAAGTCAGAATGACTATATACTTGCAAGCACATATACAGCAACTGCGCATGAACTGTATGGCCACCCTGAGAAATTACCAGAATATTTGAAAAGAGAATTTACAAAAATATTCACAAATGTATAACCTAAAACCTTGCCCTAGTTATAATCCTGGGAGAATGTGTAGTGAAGTGTAGTGTGATAAGGAGAGTACAAAAAATTGAGTCAGGCAGTCTTGTTTTCAAATTCAGCGACCTTGAAAAATGTTCAGGCTTGAGGTGCCTCAATGTTTTCTTCTCTAATATCTCTACAATCCTATCACTAAATTAATAGTAGCACCTATTGTGTGATAACTAAGTGAGGCATTGTATATGAAATATATTGAACAGTACCCAAGATATGTTAGCACACTGCTACTGTTTTTGTGTAATCCGTTAGGATTAACATCGCTTTTGCATTCTTTTTCGTACCTTAATTTTAACACTAGGTGGCAGCAATGTTCTCTTAACCAATTAAAATGACAATGGCTAACTTTCTGGAATAGGTTAGCTTGGTCAATGGGGAAAACGTGTGTAGGGCTCCAGCAAAACAGGGAGAGAGAGATGGACAGAGATAGAGATGGAGATGTAAAGGGATGCAGGGAGAGGAAGAGGGACAGAGAGAAAATAATTTTTAGAAAGAGTTTGGTATTTCTTTTCTTTTCTTTTTTTTTTTTTGAGACATAGTCTCACTTGGTCACCCTTGGTAGAGTGCCATGGCACCTTGGCTCACAGCAACCTCAAACTCTTGGGCTCAAGTGATTCTCTTGCCTCAGCCTCCTAAACACCTGGGACTACATGTGCCCACCACAACGCCCAGCTATTTTTAGAGATGGGCTCGCTCTGACTCAGGCTTGTTTCGAACCTGTGAACTCGTTGAACCTGTGAACTCAGGAAATCCAACCACCTTGGTTTCCCAGAGTGCTAGAATTACAGAAGTGAGCCACCTCGCCAAGCCCAAGAGTTTGGTATTTCAAAAGAAAATAGTGAAATAGTCATTATGGGAGGGTGGGCACAAACCAGATCTTTATTGGTGTTTGTGTTTTTGGATACCAGGGTTTTTTGTTTTTTGGGGGGAGGGGTGTCGATAGTATTTAAAGATCTTAAGTGATCCTGTATCAAATTTAGCCAAATCAGCAATACAGCAAAAGTCTGTAAAGAATAATGTGTTGTTTTGGGTTTTTTTTGAGACAGAGTCTCACTATGTTGCCCTTGGTAGAGTTCCATGGTGTAATAGCTCATAGCAACCTTGAATTCTTGGGCTTAAGTGCTTGTCTTGCCTCAGCCTCCCAAGTAGCTGGGACCACAGGTGCCCACTACAATACCTGGCTACTTTTTAGTTGCAGTTGTTTAGCTCACCCAGGCTGGGTTCGAACCCTCCTGCCTCAGCATATGTGGCTGGTGCCCTATACACTGTGCTACGAGCGCCAAGCCAAGCATAATGTGTTTTGCTGTTTATTTCTATCTTAGCATTAATCTCAATTATAAAAACAAGGAACTCAGCAGCTGTGGCTCAAGTGGCTAAGGTGCCAGTTCAGCCACATATACCTGAACTGGAGGGTTCAAATCCAGCCCGGCCCACCAAACAACGATGGCTGCAACCAAAAAAAGAAAAAAATAGCCGGGCATTGTGGTGGGTACCTGTAGTCCCAGCTACTTGGAAGGTGGAGGCAGGAGAATCACTTGGGCCCAGGAGTTGGAGGTTGCTGTGAGCTGTGATGCCACGGCACTCTACCCAGGGCAACAGCTTGAGGCTCTGTCTCAAAAAATAAATAAAAAATAAAAACATGGCCATTTCCCTAACTGTATAATATTCCCCCCACAGTAAGACATTTAGTGGTATGTTAGGTGTTGTCTATTGCCATATTACCATTACTCCAAAAGTCTGATGGCTTAAAATGAGGAACATTTATTATCTTAAATTTTCTTAGGTCCAGGAATCCTGGAATAGCATAGCTGGGGGCAGGGTGGTGGTGGTGGTTCTGGCTCAGGGTCTTTCCTGAAGTTTCAGTCAAGGCATCAGCTGGACCTATAGTTGCTCAAAGGCTGAGCTATGGGAAATCTGCCCCCAACGTGGCTCACTCTCATGATTGGGGGCCAAAGGCCTCAATTCCTCTCCACATGAATTTGTCCTCTAAGCAGTTTGAGTGTCCCTTCAGGATGGCAGCCAGTCTCTTCTACAATGAGTGGCCAAAGAGAGTCTGCAGGAGGAAGCCACAATATCTTTTACGACATTATTTCAAAGACATACACTGTAACTTCCACCATATTTGTTCAAAGTGAGTCACAGGAAATAACTAAACTATCAGAAATTCTATACATGTGCAGGAAACAGAGTTTCCACATGTAGAAATCATAGCTATCTGATCTTTTTCAGTGCAGGCTTGGACCTGTTTCTTAATCTCTAAAAAGGGAACGGGCCATAGATCTGTGAGGCACTTCAACTCTGAAGTGGCCCTTCTCTTTTCCAGCTGGATATGATCACAGATAACACCTGTTTATTTATCTCTATCTGTAAAGTAAAATGATCTTGCATGATGTGCTCTCACTTTATTCCCTATTCTATGCTAATTCATTAAAAAATTCAAGTTAAAATCTACTACATTAGTCTCATAATCCATCAAAGGCCTCACCATTAACTTTGTGAAGAGAAAACCCCACTTCCACTCTTCATTGCTCGTTTTCCATTGGTGGAATAGAATGCCAAAGACAAGTTGAGTCCTAACCTACCAGTTTCTGGGAGGAACAAAAGGATTTTTTATTTTTAAAAGCATCTTGTAAAGACGGGTCAACCCTGCCAGCCAGCCTATCCCAATTGGTCAGGAGCTAGTAACAGAGATAGCTTGTCAGTTCCTTAACCTCCCCGAGCTCCTCCCTACTCTCCACAATTGGCATAATAAGCAGTATCCCCCTTGCCTATTTCGTAAAGTTATTACGAGGCTTACAATTAGACAATTAGGCACTTAAGTGGCAGAGAATCTAAAGACCTGATCTTTAAGGTCACAACAACCATGGAAGATAAGGAGTATTATCCTTGTTTTATAGAAAACAAGGATATGAAGAAATCGAGGCTTAGAGAAGTGACATATGCGAAATCTTCGGGTTGAATCTTACGTGGCAGGGCTAGAAATCCAAGCCAGTTCTGACTCCTCACTCAATACTGAAATGCTGACGTTAAGTGGCCGCCATCTGACGCATTAAAATACAGACTCCCATTGAGTCAACAAAGTGTCATCAGCCCACGTTTCCTGTCTGGCTCTCAACACCAACACGTAAAGCTCCACTTGTGGGCTCTGGGCGCACACCAGCGCCACGGCCTTTGCTTCTCAAGCGTCACCAATCAAAACTAGGCACTTTTTTTTTGAGACGGAGTCTCACTTTGTCACCCTGGGTAGAATGCAGCGGCGTTACAGCTCACAGCAACCTTAAACTCCTGGGCTTAAGCGATCGTCAGCCTCAGCCTCCCGAGTGGCTGTGACTGCAGGGGTCCGCCACAACGCCTGGTTAATTTTTCTATTTTTAGTAGAGACCGGGTCTCGCTCCTGCTCCGGCCGGACTCCAACTCCTGAGCTCAGGCGATCCACCTGCCTCGGCCTCCCAGGGTGCGAGGATTACAGACGTGAGCCACCGCGCCCGGCAGGGCACATTTTTTAAAGTGGGTCACCTAAGGGAAACCCCCAATCGCTTCATACAACCCCTCACATCTGTAACCGTCCTTGGAGGACAGGCCTGGCTTACAGCCCTCGGTCCTGCCCCAGAGGACAGTAGAGCGCCCACTGCCCGGCGTGACGCCCGGACCCCGGGCCCCGCAAAGCCCTTTATTGCGCGGCTCCAGCGTGACGCGCGCCCGCCCGGCCCTCCGCGCCGAGCCGGAGGGAGGCGTGTGCCCGTGCGCGGGCCCGCGGCGCGTGCGCGGCCATGTGCCCTTAGCCGGGCGCGCTCTCGCCCTCGGCCGCGCGCCCGCGGTCCGCCCACATCCAGGAGCCCCGGTAACCAGGCGGCGGGCCCTGGCTTGCGGGGACGCGCGCGGGGATTTCCCGTGGGGACCCGCCGCCCGGGGCGTCCCGCGCCCGCTGTGCCAGGCGGCGGAAGGGTGGGGCCCGGCGTGGGAAGGCGCGGGGGCTGCAACCCTCCCCTTTGCGACTTCGCCGCGGGCTCTGCGGCTGGCGGAGCCTGCGTCCCCCGGGGAACCGGTTCCCACAGAGACCTGCACGCCCGGGGCAGGGGAGGGACTGGCCCCGTCACTGTGCGAGGGTCGGGTCGCGGGAGGGGTGCTAGGAGTTGCCACTTTCCAAGTTCAGGGTTTTGAATGAGGGAAAATCGAAGAAGAATTGCTCTGTTTAAAGAACTGGGGCTGAAAGTTACTGTGCCGGCTAATCATTTATTGCTTAACGTCGCTGCGATCCGAGAAAATTTGGCAATGCGGAGTTTGAGCTGGTTTGGCAGGCTCGGGCAAGGACAAAATACCATGACACAACACCGAAACCTTGTGTCAGGATGACAAATCTTACGTGGCATTTTCTCCCCATAGGGTGGCAAGAAATCATAGAACAAATCCATGGGAAACAAAAGAAAACGTAGTTTTTACATCTGGGGTTCAAGTTCAGTGAATACTTGTTAGGGACTTTCTGACGTTTAGAAATGCTTTTTTTCCTGAATCTTTTCATTGGGCATGAAAATATTCAAGTGAAAGCCATTAATAGATGCCTTGCAATCATTTCAGGCAAAGTGAGCCGAGTATCTGTGACATTACATCAGGCATCTATGTAAGGAAACCGGACAACAACTCACCATGGCCTACGGCTTGCCGAGAAAGAACACAGTGAAAAACATTTTTCGGGGCAGTTGCTTTAAGGTGTAAGTATTTTCATGACGATTAGCCTTGACTGAGGAGGGGAATGTCCTTGTTAAAATGAAAGTACTGGACACCCCATGCTCCCCATGAGATATTGGACTATATGAGGTATTTTCAGATGTCTGGGATTGAGTTTTTAAAAGGCAACTGTTTTTATAAGAATATATAGGTTAATACTCGATCTTTACAACAAAACACTTTCCTTTTTTGAGACGAAGCCCCACCCTGTTGCTCTGAGTAGAGCGTCATGGTGTCATCATAGTTCACTGCACCCTCAAACTCTTGGGCTCAAGCAATCCTCTTGCCTCAGCCTCCTGAGTAGCGGGGACTCGCAGGCGCCCTCAGGGCTAATTTTTCTATTTTTAGTGGAGATGGGTCTGGCTCTTGCTCAGGCTAGTCTCCAACTCCCGAGCTCTGGCAAACCACCTGCCTCAGCCTCCCACGTGCTTAGGATTTCAGGTGTGATCCATCTGCCTGGCCAAAAACAATACTTTCAAACTGGGGTCAGAGTCACAGTCCTGTAGTAAAGAAGTACTGCGGAGAGAGTTTGTCTTTGTATGACAACAGGGCACTTTCTGTTTCCTTGCATCACCTGAACATACTTGACAGAGGCCAAATCTAGCCCGAATCCCCTGCTGTCAGGTGTCCTAACAGAGCACGCATGTAATTAGCTGGCACGAAGGGTGGGTTTTGCTTCCTGTACCCTTTAGCTGACAAGTACAGACACCATGGGATTTCTGATCAAGACTTAGTCCTGGGCTGCAAGCCTGACCCCACTCTGGCTTTGTAGGGGACCTTCTCTGGGTCTTGACCTGCGTCTGTTAGATGGATGTAACCGTGGCTGTGCATGTGATGTGTGTAACATACTCGCACATGGCCTGGCTCATGGTGAGCACGTGTTGCTACCACCTTGTAGTTTCACTCTGGCATTGGGCTGCCTTTTCCTTTTTTAAATTTTGGGATTTGTTTTATTTTGTTAATACCTTTGCCCAAGATTATGACATATTTACCCTTATGAGTCAAATGAATTTTTCTTTTTGACAGTATTCTAAGGAGTAAGTGGAATTTCCCTACAAAGTTATAAAATTGGAGCTATAGGGAAATCAGAGAAGACTCGTTGTGGTTTTGTTTTGTTTTTGGAGACAGAGCCTCATTTTGTGGCCCTCCATGAAGTGCTATGATGTCATGGCTCACAGCAACCTCCAACTCTTGGGCTTAAGCGATTTGCTTGCCTCAGCCTCCCAAGTAGCTGGGACTACAGGTACCCACCACAACGCCCGTCTATTTTTTTGTTGCAGTTGTCATTATTGTTTAGCTGGCCCAGGCTGGGTTCGAACCCACCAGCCTTGGTGTATGTGGCTGGCTGGCGCTGTATATATGTATGGGTGTATGTGCTACGGGCACTGAGCCTGGCTAAATGTTTTAAATAAATTATAAAATAATACATTAAAAACATTCAAGCCTTATGGAAGCATATGAAAGGAAAATAAGAATACTATTTCTCATACCCATTCTTACTCCGGAGCATCACTCAGTGATAAAATGTCTTATATTTTTTCTGGGATTTCTGCTGCTGTATAAGGCACACACACATGTGCACGTATAAACACACACATGTATATGTTTTTGACACATGGAATCATATTAAACTTTGCTCCTCCCATATCCTTCCCACCCCTGTATATCTTGTATGGCCTAGTGAGTAAGAGCACCCATTCTGGACTCTGACTTTCTGGGCTTAAATCACAACTTCACAGCCAACAGCTTTGTGCGGCAAGTTACTCTCTGCTTTCAGTTTTCTAATGTGTAAAATGAGCCTAATAATAGCCCCGCCTCCTTCCTAAGGTGGTTGTAGCAGGGAAATGCAGATCTGCTTAAAATGGGGCCTGATACATAGTATTTGCTATATAAACAGTAACTGTTTAATCGCTCATCTCTCCAAATCAACATTTACAGCCAAGCCTCATTTTTGTCAATATATGTATGTACCACAGTTTGTTTAATGGGGCTCTTCTTGATAGATACTGAGATGATTTCCATATTTTTTGTAAAACAGTGCTTCAGTGAACATCCTTATAAACTCATTTTTGTGGTACATGTGTCATAATTGTAGACTGTAAGTCACTCCTGAAAGTTATATGAAAAAGCACCAACAGAGGTGGAGAAGGCAGACAAAGGGGCGGCCTGTGTGTAACTCAGTGGCTCCCCCTGCTCAGACCAGAGCACTTCACTTTCTTCATGTGTGTAAGGCTGCAACTCATGCTGACTGCAGCTGGAAAACAGAGCTGACATTTTTGGTTTCAGAATTAAGTGACATAAAACAATTTAAGCTTCATAGTGGGGTTTTTTATAGACAGAGTCTTGCTCTATTGCCCCAGGCTGGAGTGCTGTAGTGTCAGCCTAGCTCACAGCAACCTCAAATTCCCAGGCTCAAACTATCCTCCTGCCTCAGCCTCCTGAGTAGCTAGGACTACAGGAGGGCACCTGTAATCCCAGCTACTTGGGAGGTGAGAGGCAGGAGACTCACTTGAGCCCAGGAGTTGGAGGTTGCTGTGAACTGTGATGCCACGGCACTCTACCCAGGGTGACAGCTTGAGGCTCTGTCTCAAAAAAAAAACAAAAAACAAAAACCCAAACAACTAGCCAGCCATTGTGGTGGGCACCTGTAGTCCCAGCTACTTGGGAGGCTCAGGCAGGAGGATTACTTGAGCCCAAGAGTTTGAGGTTGCTGTGAGCTATGAAAGTGAGACTCTGTCACAAAAAAAGAAAAAAAAAATTCTTGGCATAATTTCTGACCATTTTTCAATTTATCTCTATGTTAGTTAGTATAAGGTATCTTTTCCTGGCTGGAGTTACAACTCTGGAAAATCCCAAATACCCTGTAAACCAAAATGTCTAATGACAAATAGAACTGAAAATTAAAAGGTGTGTTCTGTGTATTGTGCAGTAGGGGAGTAAATATTCATTGAATGAATCAATGAACTTTTCATCCAGACAGGAACCATGGGATCTCGCACTGCTTACAAAGAGTTGGTACGCAAACCTAGCCGCCATCAAATTGCCTTTCTTGGAAGAAATTGCATTTGGTAGCCCTATAAAGCTCGCAGGTCATAAGGCCAAGGGGACTGGTCTCCTCCCTTCAGCAGAATGTAAGTTCCTTAAGTTCTGCTTTAGTAAATTGTAAACCACACGTACCATTTATTTATTATCAGAGAAATGCTTAAATATGCATGTCCAAACCTCCTATCTGTAGCCCTGACATCTTGTTTATCCTTCAAGAATGTGAATTTTGCTGCTTGATACTCAGTTTGGGCTTAATTATGTCTGGTGAGAAATATTAGATTGTTTTGTGTGTTTTATTTTTTAGCCATCAGACTTGAAAGGGAATATGAACTGAAGCGCCTGAATGAACTTAAACATGAAAACGACACATGTGAGGAAATGCAACTTAGCCTACGGGAAAGGCCATTTGGTTTGAGGAGACCTCTTCCACCCGGGGAACGATCATCTTGTAACCAAATCTGTACTCTGCTTCCTCCATTCAGAAGGGATGGAAGTCTCTGAATCTTTCACTATGTAAAGTTCAGTGCAGACATACGAATGCCCACGGGTGGACAAGCCAGTGCCCTTAGATGTGGTTAGTGGACAGCTCCAACAGATCTTCGGGGTCCCTGCTATGCTCTAGTTCCTTTGTACCAGGAGTGATGGCCTTGTAAGTAGATGAAAATGCATCTGGAGTTGAGTCATTCGTGCTATTCATTTTGATTTTTATAAAATTACAGCAAAGGAAGAGGAAACTCCTTGTCAGAAGCATTATTTTATTTATTTAGTTTTTTTTTTTTTTTTTTTTTGAGACAGAGCCTCAAGCTGTCATCTGGGGTAGAGTGCTATGGCATCACAGCTCACAGCAACCTCCAACTTCCTGGGCTCAAGCGAGTCTCCTGCCTCCACCTCCTAAGGTAGCTGAGATTACAGGTGCCCACCACAACGCCCGGCTATTTTTTGGTTGCAGCCGTCATTGTTGTTTGGCAGGCCCAGGCTGGATTCGAACCTGCCAGCTCAGGTGTACGTGGCTTGGCACCTTAGCTGCTTGAGCCACAGGTGCTGAGTCTATTTTATTTATTTATTTTTTTGTAGAGACAGAATCTCAGTTTATTGCCCTCGGTAGAGTGCCATGGGGTCACACAGCTCACAGCAACCTCCAACTCCTGGGCTTAGGCAATTCTCTTGCCTCAGCCCCCCGAGTAGCTGGGACTACAGGCGCCCACCACAATGCCTAGCTATTTTTTTGTTGCAGTTTGGTTGGGGCAAGGTTTGAACGCACCACCCTTGGTATATAGGTCCAGCGCCTTACCACTGAACCATAGGCACCGCCCTATTTTTATTTTTTTGAGAGAAAGTCTTACTCTGTTGCCCTGGGCAGAGTGTTATGGCGTCATCATAGACCACAGAAATCTCAAAGTCCTGGGCTCAAGTGATCTTCTGCCTCAGTTTTTCTATTTTTAGTAGAGACAGGGTCTTGCTCTTGCTCAGGTTAGTCTTGAACTCCTGAGCTCAGGTGATCCTCCAGCCTCAGCCTCCCAGAGTGCAGAAGTCTACATTTATCTATGTAGTTTCCATTACCAGAGAGCTTTATTTTTGTGTGTGGTTTGTGTTGCTCTCTAGTGTTTTTTTTTCAACTTAAAGAATTCTCTTTAGAGCGGCGCCTGTGGCTCAAAGGAGTAGGGCGCCAGCCCCATATCCTGGAGGTGGTGGGTTCAAACCCAGCCCCAGCCAAAAACTGCAAAAAGAAAAAAAAGAATTCTCTTTAGCATTTCTTTAAGGGAAGCTCTAGTGGTAATAAACTCCCTCAGCTTTTGTTTATCTGGGAAAGTTTTAATCTGAAAAGTCTGTTAAGCTAATGAGAGCCCCTTGAAATTTGGTGAGTCACTTTTTATCTTGCTACTTTCAAAATGGTTTGTGTCACAACCAGCCACAATGCCAGGTCTTGCTCTGGCTCAGGCTGGTTTTGAACCTGTGAGCTCAGGCAATCCACCTGCCTTGGCCTCCCAGAGTGCTAGGATTATAGGTGGGAGCCGCCATGCCCTGCCAGCTTTTTGAATTCTTATGTCTATTTTCTTTGTCACATGAGGGAAGTTAAGTTTTGTCCATTATTTCTTCTAGTAGGCTTGTAATTCCTTTCTCTTTCTGTTTTTCTTCTGGGTTTCTTGTAATGCATATATCAGTCTGTTTCATGGCATCCCTTAAGTTCCTTAGTATTTCCTTATTTTCATTCTTTCTTTTTGCTTCTTTGACTCAATAATTTCAAAGGAGCCATCTTCAAGTTCACTGACTTTTTTTTGCTTGATTAAGTCTGTACATTTTTAAAATCCAGTTATTGTATTCTCAGCTCCCAGATTTAAAAAAATACTTTCTATTTGTTGATATTCTAATTTTGTATATGCATCATTTTCCTGATTTTCTTGTCTACGTTCTCTACTAGCTCACTGAGCGTCTTTAAGACGATTATTTTGAGGGGGGAAGGGAAAAGGTGATTGGCAGGAGAAGGAGGGCAATTGGTGGGATCTCACCTAATGTGCACAAAGCGGAGGGTCTTTAGCACGCCCCCTGGAAGGGCTCTAGTACAACTTGAACTTTACCTTGGAAGTGAGAACAATTCAACCTAAAAATCTGTACCCTCATATTAATTTGAAATAAAAAATATTACAAAACATTAAAAAAGGTGGCTATTTTGGATTCTTTGGCATATAATTCATAGACTTACCTTTCTTTGGAATTGGTTTCTAGAGATTAATTGGTTGAGTGATGTTTTCCTATTTCTTTGTATGCCTTGTAGTCTTTTGTTGAGATTCAGCATTTGAACAAGAAGCCACCTCTCCTAGTCTTGGGAGGCTGGCTTCAACAGGGAAAGACCTCTATCAACAGGGTGACTAAAACATAAGGGGACTTTTCAGATCTTTCTGGGGATGTGTCTTCTCTGGGCTTGTGTGTGTAATTTCCCAGTTTTAACAGTTTATAGGCTCAGCACCTGTGGCTCAAGTGGCTC